TAGATTGTTTCCCTATATTGACTATTATAAGTAATGCTGCAATGATAATGGGGTGCAGATATATTTTCAAGTTAGTGTTTCCATTTTCTTTTTTTTTAATATTTTTTTAAATTTTATTCATCTATGATAGGCACACAGTGAGAGAGAGAGAGAGGCAGAGACACAGGCAGAGGGAGAAGCAGGCTCCATGCACCAAGAGCCCGACGTGGGATTCGATCCCGAGTCTCCAGGATCGCGCCCTGGGCCAAAGGCAGGCGCCAAACTGCTGCGCCACCCAGGGATCCCCCAGTGTTTCCATTTTCTTTGGCATTACTGGAGCATATTATAATTCTATTTTTAATTGGGGGGGCAGAAATCTTCATACTGTTTTCATAGTGGCTGCTCCAATTTACATTCCCACCAACAGTGCAGAGATTGCTCTTTTTGCTACATCCTCACCAATACTTTTCAATTGTACTTACCAGGAATGAGGTGATAATCGTATTATGGTTTTGATTTGCATTTCCCTGCTGATTAGGGATTTTGAGTACCTTTTGTGTACTTGTTGGCCATCTGTATGTTTTCTTTGGGGAAAAAAATGTTTATTTAGGTTACATGCCCATTTTTAATTGAATTTTTTTTTGCTACTGAGTTATATAAATTCTTTATATATTTGGGAGATAAACTCCTTATCTGTTATATGGTTTGCAAATATTTTCTCCCATTTCATAAGTTGGGAATTTTTGTTGATGGTTTCCTTTGCTGTGCAGCAGGATCATTTTTAAAGCTCTTTTCTTCTATATTTTTTCTCACTTCTTTAGTGACTGCATCCATTCAGATGGCTTTAAATATTTTATTTTGTGAGTATTCCAAACTTACATCCCTAACATAGGATATTTCCTTGAAAGCCACAACAAATATCCTACTGCTTACTCATATCTCTTCTTCTAAATCTAAAAGGCATCTAAACTTGTCCAAAACCAAAATACTCTCTCCTAAAATTTTTTCATCTTCTGACCTCAATAAATCGTTACTCCATATTTTGAGGACTTATACTAAAAATCTTGGAGTCATTCGCTACCGTATTCTATAACCATCCCATCAGCTAATGGTGTCTGCTTAATCTTGAAAGTACATTAAAACCTGACCACTTCTTACCTTTTCAACTTCTGCTTTGCAACATTGTCTAAACCATCCTCCTTTGTCCCCTGGATATTGGCAATAGCCTCCTAATGGGTCCCTTGCTTCTACCCCTGACTGGCCTATTATCAGTGTAACATTTAAGCTGTGAAAATTTCATTAATCCTAAAATATGTGTTTATATTATTTTATTTTTTACTTATTTGAGAGAGAGAGAGAGAGAGAGAGAGAGAGTGTATGGGTACAGTAGAGGGGCAAAAGGAGATGGAGAGAGAAAATCCTAAGCAGGCTCCATGCCCAGTGTGGAGCTGGACACAGAGCTCGATCTCACAACCCTGAGATCATGACTTGAGCCAAAATCAAGAGTTACCTGCTTAACTGACTGAGCCATCCAGGTGCCCCATACATTTCATTTTTTACCACAGTTTACCATCTCTAAAATCAGTATGAATCTTACAACCATTAGTATTTTATAATCTTGTTATCAGCTGATTATAGTATTCTGCACAAAACCCTCCAAACGTCTGTCACCCCCCTCACAGTTAAAACCAAAATCATTACTAAAGTGTACAAAGCCCTGTCAGGTCTGGCCCACCATTACTTCAGCCTCATTCTCCGTGACTCTCCCATTCACTTCACTGTGGCCACTGTGTCTTCCTTCTTCTTGCTCCACATACCGAGTGCACCTATATATGAAGGCCTTTGCACTTCCCCTTCCTTCTAGGATTTATTTCCTATCCAGGCCATTCTCACATCTTCTATGGGTATTGGGTTCAAATGTTGTTTCTCCATTAAGCATCTCCTCCCCACAACCTACACCCCACCCAATATTCCCTATACTCCCACCTCAATTTATTTTTTAATAGCTCTTACAATAACACACAATCTGTATTTTACTTATTTTCCTTGTGTAGTGTATGTCTCCCTTCATTATGATATAAACTGCATGGTGGCAGAGTTTTAGCCTGTTTGGTTTGCTGCTAGATCTACACCATCTGGATTAGTGCCTGTCATAGATTGAACAATTAATAAATGTGAACAAATATAAAATAATAAGCAAATAGTAAGTTAATATATTTATTATTTTAAAATAACAATATAAAAATACATAATAATTGTTTAAAGAGCAAATGGGTGACAAAATTAACCAATTTTCTTCTTCTCTAACATGCTCCTTCTGTAGTCCACACTGAGCTCCCAGTTATCTCAGAATCCAGGAGTCATGTGTTCTTCCCTCAGCTTCCCTACACAAAGCTCCCAATAGTCACCAATCTGTTACCATGATCAATTCTACCAATATTATTGGAATACATACCTCCTGACCATCACCATTGTTCTAGTCTTAGTTCAACCTAACAGAATGACCAACTCATGGCTAAAATGTAGGAGGCAGTGGGAGGGGTGGTTGAGCACCTGATCTGACCAACTGCCTCCTGGCTGGCTGAGCAGAACTGAGACAATGTTTGGGTTACTTGCTGGCTAGGCATCCTGCCTTCCTGGTAGCACACCCTTTCCTTCATGGAAAATGAGTATAGTACTTTGAAACCTGGGCATCTGGACTACAGCAACCATCCAGGAAAGAAGCTATTGCAGCCTAGGCATGGTAAAGCCTGCTCTAAGAAGCAGGTTCCCATTTTCTCTCACTAATTAAAAGCCAACTCTGAGGCCTTTGTTTCTGATTCCCATGAGCAAAACTGAACCTACCCTGGTCTGGTAAGAGTAGAGGAAGTTGTCATAGAGTTTGAACTTACCCCTCCTTTCCAGTACCCTGATAGGGAAAAATTGATAGTGAGGGTAGCACGCTAGATACCCCCAAAGATTTTAAGAGAGAGCAGTGGTTGAGGCTGGGCTCATGGTCAGTGACTTCATTTGGTAAGTGAATGTGAAATAACTTCACTCAGTGAGTGATGAGAATTTTGAGTGTTGTTTCCCTGAGGATGTTTTCCGGGATGGGATGGGATAGCATGGGGCTGATGGTAAAATATTCCTGGAGCCCAGTGTGTAGGATTTTAGGGCCAGAGTGATTAGTTCTCTATCTAATATCACCAAGCACTATCTAATCAATGAGGAAAATAGAGAAGAGCAAGAAGCCAAAATTTAGCTCACCAAAAGACAATTTCAAAAGTTGTTCAGAGGAAGCAGCCAGAATCAGTTAGCAAAGCAGGGAGATGTGGCCAAGAGCCATTGTGCCATGGAGTTAAAGAGCAAGCAGATCATCAGCAATCTTTGAGGGATCTATGACAATGACCCACTACTATGTTACTGTTGACAGTGTCTGGGTACTACTTATAGTCTATAAAGATGTGGGTAAGGAAAGCCCCTTGGCACACCATTTGGGCACAAAAGTACTTCCCACCTTCCCCACACTTTCTCCATCTCTATTTTTTTAATTAGTGAGAGAAAATGGGCAACCACTTCTTAGACCAGTGTCACCAAAGCAATAATTTTAGGTAAATAAAGTTAAGAAGATATGCAGCAGCAGAAGGCCCTCTGAGACATTGTGGAAGGAGCTGCCTCCACTGCTGAAGCCAGGAGCTGGTCCCACCCAGCAGCTGTTCACTGCTCTCCAGAGCCACTGGGCATTGACTGAACTGCAGGACTCTCTATCAGATGAGCCAAGAGAGCAATAATTCAACTCGATTCTAGTGGATCTCATTCAGTGATTTTGTGTCTAATGGGGAAATAATTTGACCTGAATGAATGTTTATCTCCAGATGTCACCAGAAACTGTAAAGGAAACATAGTCTCCCAAATCTATTAGTTACTGAATGAAAAGAGTCCCATTTAACAAATGAAGATCAATCCCTTACATGCCTACTATTCAGGCCACAGTAAAAATAAAGAAAGAATGGCTGTCAATATAAAATGCTTCTACGACTTTTGACATTATTGGCCAATGACCATGTGGAATGGTGACCAGATAGGCATTGTCTTCAACTGCTATTGCATTCCACCCAGAATCTGAAATCAAAATGCAGCAACTCATACTCTTTTACAAAGGCGCACTCAAGTGAAAGCCCACTGACTTAGTTCCACATTGGTAGACACACTAAACGCCAGATGCTCAGAGTTGGTGCATGTCTTGCTGGGCCTATTTCATTATTGCCTGACGTCAGATTGCCTTAAAAAGGTAAGTAAAGGTTTATGATAGCAGTGATATCCTCTTCTTTATTTCTAATTCACAGACTCTATTTAGTGATCTTCAAGCCAAATAAAAGTTATCAAATGAGTCTTGGACACTATCTGAAAGAGAATATGGAACTTTCATCCAGTTATACCACCCGCCCTCCAATATTAACAGCAACTGTCTCTGGAACTTGGGAAATGGCTGATTTGTATTTGTATTTCTTTATATTTTTATGGATATACTAAATTTCCAACTAACAAATATATATTATTTTATAATTTAAGAAATTGTTTTGGTTTTGTTTTTGTTTTTTTAATAAAAAAAAGTGGGGAGGGGCAGCCTGGGTGGCTCAGCGGTTTAGCGCTGCCTTCAGCCCTGGAGACCCAGGTCCTGGAGACCCAGGACTGAGTCCCATGTCGGGCTCCCTGCATGGAGCCTGCTTCTCCCTCTGCCTGTGTCTCTGAGTCTCTCTGTGTCTCTGTCTCTCATGAATAAATAAATAAAACCTTAAAAAAAAAGATGGGGAGGTGAAAGAGGAAATGAGAAATTTCTTCTCAATAAAGAAAGAAGAGTTTAAAGAAGTTATTGAAAGTTATTCAATATTGAAAGTTATTGAAAGGTCTAAAAGTCCAAAAGTGACAGAACAGGTTTAATGCCAGCTTCTTGTGTCTATAGTATTGTGATTCAGTCCTACAGTTTCTTGCAGATCTTTGAGGTGCAATAGCTTATTCTTTCCTTTATTTCCTTTACCAAGGGAAGAAAGAAAGCAAGAGATGGTTGACAGCCAGCGGAGAGCAGATTCTGGAGGCTTCTGTTCATCCCATGGCCACTTCACAGCAGACATGCATCCTCATGAATTCCTGCCACAAGAAAGGATAGGCGGTCGTTGATGGGTGTGCCAGCTCCTAAAAGAAGGTTCTTGGCCAGTGGCACTGCATGGATATCTTCATTATCCTTCCTTCACTGTGTCCCAGTTGCATAGAAAATAATTACACCTAGACCAGTAGACTTGATGTTCATTTAAACAAGCTGATGTTTCTTGGTTGAATTTTAAACCCATTACCCATCAAACTTCTCAGCCTCCAAAACTCTCCAGATGCAGACCCTTCTACCGTCATACACAGAGCCTTGTATCTGAGGAAAGAGAGTTCCCTTTCTTAAATACTAACTATAGACAAAACCAATGCCCTTGGCCTAGTTTATATGGTTCTTCACTATATATCCTCAATTTATAATTTCAGCTGTACCCTTACCCAACTCATCTGACAGTTCAATTTTACCGGGCTGACATCTGCCTGACTTTACCTTGTGCTTTCTTACCTTTATCTTTGCTTCTATTTTTTCCCCTCTGCCAAGAATATAATCCTTTTGTATTGTCATTCATTTGGAAAATTTCTACTCAGCCATCTACACCTAATATTTTCATTTTTTTGACACCTAATATTTTCAGATGTCTCCCAGACCCAAAAAGCAAATCCCTCCCCCTCTTAGCGCTCCCACACTACTTTGTACCTGCATGTGGAGTATCACACTTCTATCTAACTGGTGATTCGTTTGTCTTCTTATACATCTAGACTTCATTGGGGAAAACTATTCACCTCTATGTTTGCAATAACCAATCACATAGTAGCAGTTCTCCTAATGTTTGATGAATAAATGAGTGGTTTCTTCTGCCAGATTTTCAAATACGGCAAGATCATGCATCCAAACCTAATATGGAGTGGGGTTGTTTTTTGGTTGTTTTTGTTTCTTTGTTTGTTTTAAATGTCTTCCATCGTGACTTGATCGTTTTGGCTTTGTTTTTTGTTTAAGAGAGTGAATGATTGTAAATTTAACTAGGTAAATAAAGATGGGTGAATATATGCCACCGATCAACAAACAGTGAAGCCTTATTTTAGGCTAGCTTTGTGTTGTGTACTGGGAAGAAAGAGAAGGACATATGTTCTAAGTGAGGAGATGAACCTGAGAAAACTTAAATATGTATTTATTTTGGTTAATACAGATTAATTATGTGAGCCCGATTTACATTTTATTACAGAGGTACCTTTCAATAAGTGCATCTTTTCAGGGGTAGAAGGCAGCACTATGTACAGGAATACCAGGAGAAAGCCAAGGAAGAATGGTGGGCTGTAGCTACTCCTCAAAGGACTGAGGCTTGCATATGTGCATGGGTGCAGAATCGTGCATGTGCCCAAACATCAGAAGGGGAGGAAGCCTTTATTTTCTTTGTGAGAGGCTGCCTTTACACATCTGGGACAGCTTATGTTCAGTAGATTGATTTTCTACAACAGGGTTTCTCTACCTCAGCACTATTGACATTTTCAGACAGGTTAGCTCTTTGTTGTGGGAGCGGTCCTGTAGTCCTGTATACTTAGAATGTTGAGTAGCATCTCTGGTTTCTACCCACTAATGTCACAGAAACCCACCTTGCCATCCGCATTATGACAATCAAAAGTGTCTCCAAATCTTGCGAATTATACTCTGGGGGGCAAAATTTCTAAGGGTAGCCACGGTAAATGTGTCTTTCAGATTTGCTTTGTTCAAGTATTCTTATGTTTTTTTTTTTTTTTTTTTTTTTTTAGAATTCTCTCAAAGAGGGAGGGAGGGAGAGAGAGAAATCATGTGGGTTACCAGGAAGACAACACTTAAAGATGCAGTTTTTTTGTTTTGTTTTGTAAATAGCTAGTATTAGGAAAATAAGGAAAACACACTATTCACTGTGTATTTCCTAGAGTTTATTACTCATCCAGGATGAACTGATAATACTCTAGTGACATGAAAATGGTGCCCAAGGCTATTGAATATGACTTTGAGTTAAGCTTTGAAAATATTCCTAGCAACACGTTTAATTAACTAGGATACTTGGTTTATATTAAATCCACATCAACTAATATTAAAAACATATATATTGAAGCTTAACAGCTTCAGGAGGGCTCAGGATCTGATTGTGGTTTTATTCATTTTCAGCATACAACAGGTTCATTGAATCTTTCCAAATTGAGCATTGGGGACTAGAACATTACCACTGATTTGGAAAACAAAATAGGGAAAATTAAATTCTTGTGTAACAATGTTTATATTTCTAAACAATGTTTAGAATCAGCTTTAAAAAGAAATTGGGGAACCCTGCTTGATTGATTGCAATATTCTTCTTTCTACCTCAAAATAACTGGGTCTCACTTCCTTAAGCAAATGCAGGACAGAAAGAGTGATAAAATTGTGATGCAAAGTGACCTTCCCTATTTATAGGAGGAAATCTTGCCCCTCTGGCAAAGTTTAGGTCGATGTCCAAGATCTTTACTAAGGCAATTTTTCACTGGACCTGAGCTTGGAGGAAATAAAATGACCAGAATCTGGAAGCAGTTTATCCTGAGATGAGGAAGGCATTGGACAGTGGGGTTGAGGAGGATACCAGGACAGCAAGGATGGTGGTAGATGCAGAGAAGTGGCAAAAACAAACAAACAAACAAACAAACAAAAAACAAAACAAAAACACCTCACTTGATGCTTTACCCAACAAATATGATAGATCTCAGTATAAGTCATCTGATCTATAAAATTAGTTTTTATCCATAAAATTCAGTTCTTACAACAGAATTTTTCAATATTTTGTTTAATGTTATAACTTTGTCTTACTCATCACATTCTATGTGTCATCGAATGCTCAATAATGGTTTCTTGGGTATTAGTTTCATTATCTCCAGAATATTAGAGTCCAAAAGACTGAATTAGAGAAAGGAGCAGAATCTACCTGGAAGGAAGTCTCAGCCCCAGATTCCTGTCTGAGCCTCATGCTCAGGAATCTGTTGACTCTGCCCTTTGAAACTACCCTTGGACCTGCCACAGTCACCAACATGGGGATCTATGGTGGGTGCTGGGATTTTAGTGCCTGTGCTGGTCGCTAAGGCCCTGACTCTTGGCCTGTGCCGACTAATATTAACCTGAAAATGTCAGAATACTTTCATCTAGCAAAGGCCCAACACCATGTATACTACACTCACTACCACCAGCACCCCTATCCCAATCTCCCACTGGGTGCCTGCCAGGGCATTTTCCTAGACCTGGACGATTCTTAAGGCTCTGACAACCTACAATTTTTTTAAAGGTAACAGTGCTTGTGAGGTTTTCCTCCTAAACAAGAGACAAAGCATTTTTATGTTAATAAATTCCTATAACCACAAGATCTATCTGCAATGTTTATTTCTGAGTAATGTTGTCACCTCTCTACTCATAAATCCGTGTTTTGAATTAGCAGACTCTGGATGGGATCAATATAACTTTGTGTAGGTTTGGCTGCTTCACCAAAATATGCAAGTATCTTTGTGTTTGCCCACCAGTCAGAAGGGAGGAGCAGAACAGACTTATATATCCTTTTTGCACATTTTAAGAAATAGAATTAGCCAATACTTTGGAGTCGGTGTTACTTGAGAATGATGACATAAAGCAGAGAAGGGAAAGGCAGTTGAAAAAAAGAGAGGGATCCTAAGGACATTTAAGAAGAAATATTGCCATTGTTATTCTCACATCTTAAGAAACAAGACAAATGTCCCCAGTATGGGATTCTGAGAGGTTCCTGACCACTTTAAGATCTTGTTTTGGCTGAGACTCATCTCTCTTGCTTATTTCTTTGACTTGAAGCTTTTTAAAACCTTTGGATAAAAATCAGAATAGCAAAAAAAAAAAAAAAAAAAAAAAGCAGAATAGCCACCTTATTAGGTGGACTCACATGTGTACCTTTCAGCTCTGGTTTCATGATGCAAATCGCAGCCCAGGGTAAGTTCCTGAAACTTGTGCTTTCCCTGGCTTTAAGGCTGAGCAATGGACCACTCAGCACACCTGGTGTAAGTGCAGAAGGTGATATCTACTGATATCTATCCACTGAGGATAGAACAGGATCATAATGACAGCCCATGGGCATGGCTCCAGGAGCACCTAGCAGGTGTCTTGCCTTCTCTGCCCAACTTTTCTTAATGCTCCAAAAAAATATTATACTTGCACATGACCTTCAGAAGCCCAAAATTCTGATGAAAGGGGAAGCTCTGGGCAGCATGTCCTGTTTGCATCTTAACAGGATCTCATACCGCATGGGTAGTCATTTTAACATTAGCTGCCAGCAATAATCCTGTCTCATGGGTTGTTATAGGAGCTGAGCTCCCAGCTCTGCCCTCTCCCACTGGAAGGAGACTTAAGACTTCATTGAAAATGTTGATGTGTATGTGACAGGCACAAGTACCTTTTTCCTCTCTTTTTCTTTTTCTTAATTAATTTCAACTCCCAGGCATGAACACTGAGGTTGCACACAGGCACACCAGCACAGGTGCACACAACACAGAGATAGACAGATAGTAGGCTACCGTCGAAAGGAGTGTATAATTATGTGTGTACCCATTTCACACCAACTCATTAAAACTAGGAAAAGCCTATTAAAAGTTAAATCCCTTTTATAAAGTAAAAGAATTTGAGCTTGAATTTGGCTGATACAGCACACCACAGGACCCGATATATGCCACAGCACTCTGTGCTTCTGGGTGTTTGTACGTGCTGTTCTATCTGGAATGCTCTCCCACCATTAGCCCCCCAGTGAAAGGATAATCATCTATCACAGGTCTCCCAGGCCACAGAAGCTGAGGGCACATAGAGGCACACACATTAGTAACTGGGCAGGAATTCATGGCTGGTCAGGAGCAGGTATGTATAAAGGTCAGTCCCAAACATCTCCTTCTGGTCCTCTGGCCATCACAGACTTTTTCCTGTGTGTTTGCAACTTTCCTGCCCTAGGTGTGATAACAGTCTCATCCTGTGCACCTCCACTCCTGTTCTCTGCTGCTCCAGGTGAGGCAGCAGTGACTTCTATGGGAACATTCTCTTCAGGAACATTGTCCTGATGGGAAAATTCTCCTCCCAGGGTCCTGGCCACACAGGTTCCCTGGGCATTGACAAGTCTTCAGAGCAGAGATGCCTTGGGCTTTAGTGATGCCATCTGTGTTGTCAAGGTGACCTCTTTCGGCTGTCGTTCTTCCTCTTCCTCTTGTGTCCTTCAGGGTGACTTCCTTGCCTCGCAGCTTCCCTCAGACAACTGAGGAGTTCCTCTTAGAAGGCTGCCAAGAAACTCTTTCAGAACAGCCCTTCCCTGGGCCACATGGACTTGGTTTCTCCCCCTTCTATAGCTCTGATGGAGGCAGAGTATTATTGTCTGCTTTCATGTATGTCTCCAAACCATAAGCATGAGATTTAGAAAACTGAGTCTTATTCATCCCTGTGTACACATTTATACATCCAACTGAATACCTCACATTTTCATTTAAGTATCTAATAGACCTCCTAATGCAACTTGTGCAAAACTGAATTCATGATTTTCACCTTAAAATTTATTCCTTCGGGGATCCCTGGGTGGCACAGTGGTTTAGTGCCTGCCTTTGGCCCAGGGCGCGATCCTGGAGACTCAGGATCGAATCCCGCGTCAGGCTCCCGGTACATGGGGCCTGCTTCTCCCTCTGCCTGTGTCTCTGCCTCTCTCTCTCTCTGTGACTATCATAAATAAATAAAAATTTTTTAAAAAAATTATTCCTTCCGGGATCCCTGGGTGGTGCAGCAGTTTAGCACCTGCCTTTGGCCCAGGGCACGATCCTGGAGACCCGGGATCGAATCCCACGTCGGGCTCCTGGTGCATGGAGCCTGCTTCTCCCTCTGCCTATGTCTCTGCCTCTCTCTCTCTCTCTCTCTCTCTCTGTGTGTGACTATCATAAATAAAAAAAAATCTATTCCTTCCCAAATTTTGTGCAACTAAGTAAGTGAAAACTCTATTTCTCAGCTACTCAGGTCAAAACTCCTGGAGTTACCCCTGACTGGACTT